GCCTTTTCTCACTCAGTCTTTGAGAAAGATATATATCCTTCCTCACTTCAGATTAGTTGCTGCAACTGAAAGACATTTGGTAAAAATCCATGGAATTGTTCCAAGCCAAATGATAGGACTCTAAATTACTATAAAAGGTAATAAAACACAGATGCTTTTAGGAAGCAGGATGGATAAACACAAGAAGTACGCATCCTGAAGTTGAGAGTGATGAACCAATTCTTGAGATCTAGAGAAGGGATTATTGAAAAGAAAAAAAAAAAACCTCCCACACACCATCACTACAAGTCAACTTCTTTGGCTTCCCATCACATACAATATTCACCCGTCACTACAAGTCAACTTCTTTGGCTTCCCATCACATACAATATTCACCTTTACTGGTAATTTCCTCAACCCAATTTACATAGTCTCTAATGATCTAAGTAGGATAAAGATACTAACCAGCTGAATTCCAGCCATATGCTAAGTAATATATCTCACCGTGGACCTTCCTGAAGTCTCCCTTCTGATACTAGCCTTGCAGCCTCCTTGGCCATTCACTAGGCAATTTCTAATCACCCACTGTAAATCTTACCCTCAAACATAAAAGAAAGGTTCCAACTAGGGATGTTAAAATGTGTTTAATTAAGTAACCACATAACAGCTGAAAAATTCAGCAGTTACACATGGATGTGGCAGACAACTAGCCAGCTCCCTGCGCACTCCCACTTGTCCTCCTATGCTGCTGCCTCTGATATAGTGACACCAACACTAGTTCCTCTATGAATGGCACCTAAAAGCAAATCTATCCCTAAAACTATTCTTTGCTGTACTACTCATTACATTTCTATCAATTCTGCAAATAGTTCCAGTTGATATTAAGCCATAATTTTAACTGAATAAATAATTTGTCTCGAAAACTTCACCCAACTGTAGCTCTAACCTCAAAATGGAAGAAATAATGGTCAATTCATGACAAAAGGCATAATGCCTGTCTAACTTTAAATTCCAACATAGCCATGAAGAAAATTGTATCATGCATTCAGATTGGAAACAATGGCTAGAAGTTTGTATACAATGAGAAACCATGAAGAAAATTGCATCATAAATTCAGATTGGAAACAATGGCTAGAAGTTTGTATACAATGAGAAACTAAACTGGGATTAATTACCATGGAAAACAGAGTTAAATAGGATTTAACTGATGAACCAGTAAATAACTGATCATAACAAATGTGAATGGAAAATGTTTTTAATATACTTTCTTCAGATTTTACTTATTGGTTTTTATGTTTGTGTCCCAAGATTTCCACAAAATTAAGGTTTATTTATAATTTTCTAAAAATGAATGTGAAAATAATCTTAAAGAAAATAGAGACAAGTGATCTCTTTGAGCTATTTGTCTCACAACAACAGAACATGCAGGACAAAGGAACACATTAAATCAGTAAATATAGAACAAACAAAAATATTTTTTATATAGCATATATAATAGAATCATAGCACTGGAAGGGACCTTGAGAGGTCATCAAGTCAAGTCCCCTGCACTCACAGCAGGATCAATCACCATCTAGACTGGGGAGGGTACCGCTGCAATAATTTGGTGCATGGTCAAGGGCCACACTCTTCTAGGATATTAATGGAGAAAGTGTGGGGTCTGGGATGGAGGATGGGCGCAGAAGGGAGATTGGGTTAAGGGCTTGGGGTGCAGGAGGGGATGTGGGATCTGAAGGAGTTTGGGTGAAGGAGGGGGTTGTGATCCAGTGCAGGCGATTAAGGTGCAGGCTCTGGGAGGATATATGGGTGGAGAGGATTCTGAGCTGGAGAAGAGTATGGAAGGGTGAATTGTTTGGGAGGGAATTGTGGCTGGGGCAGGGGTTCAGGAGATGTTGCAAAGGATTTGTGATGCAAGAGGGGGTTTTTGCACAAAAAGGAGCCATCTACACAGCTCCTTTTTGCACAAAAGCCTCTTGCGCAAAAGCGGCTGCTAATTAATTATGCAAATGAAGCGTGGTGATATTCCACTCCATGCTTCATTTGCATAAGCTTTTCTACAAGAAGGCTACAGTGTAGACGTAACCTTGGTGTTAATGTTGGGAGTCAGAAACCTTAGGCTATCCAGATTATCGTCTGGCTGATAATTAATTTAGCCTGTTTGGAACTCAGCTGCACGCCAAATTCTCAGCTGTGTCTAATATCTGTTGGGGATAACAAAGTATGTGGGGGAAAGGAATCAGATGATCCCAGGGCCAGTTTTATGCATAATTTGAACAGCCTTGGGGATGCTGTAAAATATACTAGGTGGCTATGGCCCACAGTGAGAGAACAAAGTATAATAGCTCCTCTGCCATGCTTCCATCTCTCAGCTGGGAGGTCATAAGGGAGCTGGTAGCAGTCAGCCACAGCAGTTTTCTGCCAACTGGGACTATCCACCAGCTTTCTAGTCTTTTTATACCACAAGAATGAAAAAAAGTCCAGCATGAAGAAGAGAATGTTTCCCTGTGGCTGAACCTCAAGATTGTTCATAGTGTTTATTTATATTTTGCCATTATGCCCAATGTAATTCATCACTGAACTTTATTCCCTTATCATGCCCTCATGAAGCACAATGCTGACTAAAAACAGTTTCGTTATGTTTTTGACAAATTGTAAGTGTGAAAGTGTCTCTCTGAGTTTGCCCATGTACGTTACCAGTTTGTTATTTTATCTGAATATTTAATGTTGGTATATAACAACCCTAAACCTTCTAGATAAAGTTATAATAAAAGGGGAGAGACAATTTTATCATCATTAACGACATTAGTATTTCAATACACTACAATGATATGGTAAGCTAATCTTGTGCCTCAGAATGCTAAAATGTCATTCATGGGAGCTAAGAAGAAATTTGCTCAGTCCCATAAACAATACTGCACAAATCAGTCTGATTTTGAAAATCCTCCCTTATAAGAGTATTTTCATAGAAGCAATATTAAGATGAAGACGGCTATGTGAGAGAAAAGATTAGCAGAACTGGGTTCTTGGGGGCATTAAGGTTCCCCCCCCCCTCCTCTAAAACATCAGATACTGCTTGACGTAGAACACAAGCCTCAATTAAACTATGGTCTCATTTGGTAATGCAGATTCCTATGGGAATCTAACATGCAAGACAGTCATCATAACGTGGAATAAAGTTTGCATCAAGTATTCTGGATACCATTTGGCAGAAACGTTCGGTCTTCCTAGATTCTTTGGGAGTTGATTGCTTTTGTTGGGATGCACTTGTTTGGCAGTCGAAAAGCTACCGACCTTATAAGACTCTGGAACTGTTGGTTTCTCGAGTTTGTTCTCCACACCTCTGGAAAGCTGATGACCAATGGCAGAGACTACCAATACACCATTTACTAAAAGAGCAAAGCATGCATGAATAGGAAAATCTGAAGTTTAGTTGGTTTTATTGGTAGTTTATATCTATAAATTCCATATGCAAAAACATGATTATGCAACTTAAGGCTCTAACTAATGAGAAACTCGGTTGGCAAAGAAGCAGTGTCCTTCTAACAACACTGGCAAGGGAGAGAAGAAAAAAAACACTCACTTCAGTATGTTATAGCAAGAGTGTCTATCTAGTGTGTTTCATTTCCGGTAATAGCCAAGACATTTAACATTTTGGCCCAAAATGGCTGTCTTCTAAAATTAAAAAGTTGCATATACCTACAGTTGAGTCCACCAACCACAGAATCTTCTGTTTACTTTATGGCAGCAACACTACAGCATGATTTTCAGTGATGTTTTCAAGCTGAGTTATAGAAGATATACTTTCAAAAAATTTATTTAGAATATTTTATATTTATATGAAAAGATACAAATTGTTCTTTTATATTATATATATATACACACTACATATAAAAATTATAACTAGTGAGAGTATATTTAACTGGATATTTCTTTGTATATAAATGGAAAAAGGATATAGTCTGGTCTTCAGAAGAAATAATGAAGATCTATGTACTTTTGTATGGGTGGATTAAAATCTTATTTAAATAATACAATAGTTCTAGGCTGATTTTAAAGAGAGTTTTAGACTTAAAATACATTCATAGAACCGAAATATATTTTTCTGCCAGAGACTACCAGTGTTAATTACTTTGTGGTAATCTTTGACTTATCAAATTAATATATAAATAAAAATAATAGGCAACAGGTTTGATTCTCCAATCTGTGGTAGCAGTATTTTTGGCAATGAAGTAACACTGGAATGACACCAGTATAACAGACTAGCAAATCAGGCTTACTACCTAAAAAAGCCATGTATTTCATGGATTCATATCACAGGGTAAAAAAGAAACTTCCTTCAAGTCGATAACTGAATGGAATTGAGCTTTAATGATGATTTGCATAGGATTGTGTATAATTAGTTTAGGGTTACTTTTAAAGCTTGTATTGTTCCAGAAGCAGTATATCCTCAAAATGCAGATTTCCTTTAATGATTTTTGGTTTACACAGTGATAATTTAATATCTCAAATATTCCAAAGAGCTTTAGCATCCCAAATGTTCCAAAGAACATTTGTCTTTGTAGATATACATAAAATAAACAGGTAATTCATGAAGGCAGGTTCTGGAGAAACTCAGCATCAAGTGTAGCAGTTATTTCTAGAGTGCAGGGTCTAATGAGCAGTAGGTAAAAGTTAAAAAAAAAAATTCAGAATTTTCTTTTTTGCTATGATTTTGTCAAAGTTACTCAGTTCTAAAGGCCAGCATCTAAACTATGTGTGATTTATTTAATATTCAAAACTTTAAATGTTATTAAGAGGACAGTTTCTAAAGTGGTATAAATAAAAATAAATTTGGGAATTTATTATAAAGTAGGGAATTAAACTTACCATTCCCTACTCTGATATTTTTAATTTTATTTTATTTATCATTGAAATATTATTTTGATACAACCATACAGTAAATTGCTTTGGGAGAGGGGGAAAGAACCTTATTGCAACCAAAGAAAACATTTATTTATAGGAAAAATGGGGAAAGCCTTATGTTTGTTCTACCAAAATTTATTATTTAATAATTACAAAGTTTAAAGACTCTTCTGTTTTAAATAAAAATAATTGATATAATTACGCACATTATATAGTATCATGTCAAGTGATTCCAACAAATACCACATGAAATACAGTGCATTTTCAAATCAGAGACATACTTTCTCATTCACAGTGTTTGACATAGTACAGGAAAGCTTGTTCACATAGGGTTTACTTAAAGTCATGCTTTTAGAAATAATCCACACCACGCTGTGCCACAAAAAAACATTTTCTCAGAACGTGAAGTATCGGGCAAACCATTCCTGGCGCTGTGGATCCGGTGAAGCTTCAGTCTGAGGAGGGCTAAATTCATAAAAGAAAAAAAAAATTTAACCCACAGCCAAAAACAAAGAGTGCAATAGGTCTGGAAAAAGCACAGATAATGCAATATGGAACACAAATGATCCAAAAATCTTTTCATAAGTCAAATATCTCATTAGCGTAGTATATGGTCTAATTTAATGTCCCTCTGCAATATCTGTGATCATCCACTCCATTGGAGAGCATCAGCAGCACAGACAAATTAAAAAAACCACATCATAAGATAGAAAAATATTTGAAGATAATATTAATTAAAAGCATACCGTTAATTTTTTGGGGTAAAAATTTTTGTTGGGGGGAACTTTGGAGGGTCCTCTTTTAGTATCCTTTTCTTCTAGTTAAGATAGGTTTTAGAAGTATGATGCAAGCATCACATTCTTAAAGACATGTGCTTAATAAAGACTAGTCAGTAACTAAACAAAAATACATAGTATTTCAATATTTTACATAAATCAAACTGAAATATTATTTGTATAATTTCATGCATGCAGTTTAAAATACATTAATTATACACTAGGAACAAGGGAACTGGTGCATGACAAATAAGTTGCTCCCCTCTCTAATATGTTAATAAATCCACTGAATTAACAAGAAAATATACATGTAATTTTAATACTAGATCAAAGTTCTTTGGTCAACAAAAATTAAGAACAAAATAATCCTACCGTTTTACTGGGATAATACAAGGCACGAAACAATTTGCAATGGAAACTCCAGCATCATAATCCATGAATTCATGCACATGCATGTTACTGACGTCTGAGCATACGCATGCATATCACATGCACGGGGAAAAATAAGCAACACAATATATTTAACAAATGTATATTTTGTTGAAACAGAATATTACTACTTATTTATTTTTAATACGATCATTTCCCACTTCTATTTTTAACACTTGTCAGAATTGTGTCATTACTCATATAAATCATATGAGAAGGAAACAACTGCTTGTCCAACTAATTCTTATGCCATGGCTTCAATTTGCAAATAAAGTGTGTTATAGGAATAGGATAACAAGACATTTTAGGTACCGACAGAGAACACACTTTTACTGTGCACTCAGGATCCAGGAACCTAAAGCCCTGACTCTTCCCCCTTAATTTATTTGTTTAAATTAATAGTGCAATGCACTCCCCCATCCCTTTCAAAGATCTAATCTTGGAGATTTTAATCTTGATTTTCATTACTGGAAAGGCAGCCTTAAAACACCCAAGCATGCATGTTTCCCATTTCTGTTATAAACTAAAGTTTATGAAACAACTTGACACAAATAAGGAAAAGTGAAAAAAATGTTGCACAGAAAACAGTTTTGTCATAATAAAAGTCATGACACAATAATGAATTTTAAAAAATCCCAATGTTAAAAAGAATTCCTAAAGGACAACTGGTAAATCACAAAACATTTAAAACAATTGTTCATAAAACGTAAACAATTGGAAGCACATGAATCATATTGAGAAATATTAAAAGGTTGAAGGTTCAAGACTTATAAAATGGTGGGAAATGTTACATTTCGATAGGCTCTACAATAAAAAGGAATACTGTAAAGAGGTTACAAACGGAGCGCAAAAATTCCACAGTAATATTTGTACTCAGCGTTAATAAAGCATGTGGGATTTTCATCTAAATAGGAATGCAAAATTTCAATGAGTTAAAAAAAAGGATTGGTGAGACAGTGCTCACCTCAAAAACGTCTTGGGCTCTTTGGGTGGTATTGGCTGTGGAAGTGGTTTGCTGCTGTTGAACTCAATATCGTGAATGGGTGAATTAGGAATGGGATCCAGGCGGTTAGGATGTCCATTGCCCACTCCGCTAGATTCCAGAGCACTTAGATTGGGTACACTCACAAACCTGTTTGTTGTTTTATCATTCTTCTTCTTTTGCTGCATTAAAAATAACAAATGTAAGGAAGGCTCCTTGCACCAGAACAGATGAGGTGATTGGTAGATAAGAAAGGTTTTTTTATAATTTTTTTAAACTATTGTGAGACTAGGAATTGGGAAGGAAGCGGAATAGTTTCTATAACTGAACTAAACCTTGATTGTATCCTTTGAACAGTGCTGAATAGCATAACTTCTAAAAGGAAAATTAAATATTTAAGCTAATTTACTAAGGAATTAAGGATTTGCTCGGCGATCAATATATTATTCTGACAGACTGAATGTATAGGACTAGATATTTTACTGGAAAGAGATGAAGAGGTAGCTAGTTCTCTACAAAATTATGTTTCAGACTGCTATTCTTTATTTCTTTTAAATCCATTCTTTGTATTAGTGAAATATTTCTGCTGTCAAATGCAATATAGCAAACTCATTGGAGGAAAAGGTAAATCTGTTCAATAAGTTTCACTTTGCCATTTAAATATAGTTTGGTAAACAATTAGTTTTTCTTTTTTATTAGAAACTTAGAAAACCTGCAATTAAGGTACATTCTTTGATTAGAAGCACTGACGATCCCCAAATCAAATGGGTGTTATTACATTATTATTGATATAACTGATCCTACAGAGCCGTGGTCCCCAACCCTGTGCCCCCAGGCGCATGGCGCCCGCCGGGCTCTTCACATGCACCCGCGGAGCAATCTGGGCTGGCCCTGCCCCATGGCGTGCGGCAGGTGCCAGCCCCGGGCGCATGGCCGGTCCCGCCCCCGGGGGCACC